GGTCAAACATATCATCACTGAAATGTTTGGAATTCTGACTGAAAAAAAAGATTAGGAAAGAGATAAATTTCTTTATGGCCTCTGTTTCATTGGATCCATTTGAGTTAGTGTGCCCCTTTAGCGATCTCAAGCTATTTGGTTGCAACTAGAAAAAACGACTCGTATCTCTTTTTGAATTTATTGTTAATAGGATTGTGACAGAATTCAGGAAACCACAAAGAATGTGGCACTTTGTAAATCATCTAACCAGCCACTCACTCCATTCAGAATCATTATTGTTTGCGTGTGTGTATGTGAGTGTGCGTGTGTGTGTGTGTATGCGGGGACACTTGTTTCTCATCCATTAATGATCCAGTTCAATTATTTAATCTGGAACTACTTTTTAATACCCAACAATAACTCATATACAATAATGATATATTAAGCGGGATAAGTAGGAGTCAGAATTTTCCTTTATACCCATCAGTTCTTTTGGACCATAATGAAATACTTGGCACTTGCAGTTCAAACATGTCCTTTAGTGTCTTAACTGATTGATGATAATATTAAACAGCAACTTTTGGAGAAAATCAAACCCTTTATATGTTTCTTAATGTTAAAGACAATAAAACCAAATCCCTTAAACCTCGCCTATGTTGTATATGATACTATTTAAAGTAACACTATATATTATGTAAAAAAAAATTCTTGAACTTGCCAGTGGCAGCCAGCTTTTCCGATGCCAGAAATTTAGATTGTAGTTTAATATGAAAATAACAGTAACAAAAGCATTTTATTGTATTTCACTATTAAAATGCAATAGACTTGGAGCTGGTGCAGTGGCATAGTAGGTAAAGCCACCTCCTGCAGTGCCGGCATCCCATATGGGCGCTGGTTTGAGTCTTAGCTGCTCCACTTCCTGTCCAGCTCTCTGCTATGGCCTGAGAAAGCAGTGGAAGTCCTTGAGCCCCTGCACCTGCGTGGGAGACCTGGAAGAAGCTCCTGGATTTGGGCCAGCCCAGCTCCGGCTGTTGTGGCCAGTTGGGGAGTGAACCATCAGACGGAAGACCTCTCTCTCTCTCTGCCTCTCCTTCTCTCTCTGTTTAACTCTGACTTTCAAATAAATAAATAAATCTTTTAAAAAATGCAATAGTCTTGGCTGATGAGTTTCAAATGGACAAAAAGTCTTGAGTTATCGGACCATATTTTATGAGGCAAAGTAGCACAGGCTTTGAAAAGTAGTCTTGACAGATATGTTGTGTCCTCTGAAGATGTCCAAGAAGATGAGCCAGATTCTAATGGCATCTACTTTCCTTTAAAATTCATGCAACAGTTGTTTATGTTGCCGGTTGTTTCAGATCTCTACAAATACATTAGCTGTACATTTTGATTGTTAATAGAAGCATATCACAAAACATGTAGCAAAGTATACATATAGCTAAATACAGTCACTGTAGTACATACAATTTAGGCCTTCAAAACCTTTTGTTGAGAATTAGTCTTTCAAAGTCTTAGATATAAAAGAATTAAGATTCTGATTTCCTTGCAGATTGTACAAAAGGAAACCTCTGCTATGTGACCATAAGCTTGATAACAAGACAAATTCTGTCACAAAGTTTTCACATAACTCTATTCAATAAAAATATTGCTTTGCTTCCTAAGACAGATGCTTGATGTATACTACTTCTGTAACATACACCTAAGATTATGACTGAAAATGGTGTCCAACATTGGCACTTTCAGCATTTGAGTAAATTATATTTGTCTTTGCCCACTTATTACTTTTGTTATGTCTCTGCAGAAAGGTCAGGCATACTGTAGTTGTGCAGAGAATGTAAAATAGACCTACTACTCAAGACACATGTGTCATTGCTAGAGTTGAGCAGGAACCCCTTTTCTTCTTCCTGGTGTGATCCCTTCTCAACATGCATTTGGTTATGCTGCAGTCATTTACTGGGTGCCACCATGGACCTATTATCGTGTGTGGAATCAGGGACTATAAAAGTTCAGAATAATACATAGCATCCACCAGGAAGGAGCTTGGAGTCTCAGTAATGAAGACATGAATAACATATTAAAATAAGTAAATGATGTAATTAAATAGTTATTTTGGAAGCATTGCATTCCACAGACTCATTGACGGTGAACACTGGACTGAACCTCATGTTGAAGGCAAGAAAATTGATTGTTAGGGTAAAGTGACTTAGATAGGTATATAGTTAGCTATAGATAAAACCAGTCTTTATAATATCTTATTTGTTTTATTATTTGTCATGTTTTATAACATGAATATATTATGTAATGTCTAAATAGGATAATTATATTTATATTTTTAAGCATTTAACATTTCTTATAGTAAAAGCATCCAAAATTCTACTTGTTATAGAAAAATATACAGTGCATTAAATTTATCTATAGTGACAGACTGTACAGTAGAATACCAGAACTTCTGCCTCCTATCTTCTTTTTATCTTTTACTCATCAATCAAAATTTCTCCCACTCTCATTTTCTAATTCCCTCCCCAGCCTCTAGTAACCACCATTATATTTTTAATGTCTATGATTTCTTTAGACTTCACATATGGTAAATCCAATTTTAATAATCAGCCCTTCTGATTCCTCATATGGTACTCTTCACATCAAAATGTGAGCCAGATAAGCACTATCAGTACTATATTTTTAGGTCCTTCCATATTTTATAAATTACTTTTTCTACTATCATAAATATGACGCAGGTAGCAGCATTAAAAATGTGGATATTAGACCAATCAGTGCTTTTAGATCATCTGCTGGATTTTTGGTCTATTTAAGTAATACATCAAAATTTGGACTACAAAATGTCACCTTGTTGAATAAAAACCACAAACAGTTGTTAGAGTACCTCTCAGGCAGCCCAGTATGCCTGTGGTTGGGAACCGCTATCATGAAGAGAGGAGAATTGATTGCACTGTTGATTGTCTGCCACTTCTATGGTATATGCAAGGGAAGACTGGCTACTGAAAAGCCACAAGAGACTGTGACCGTCAGGAAGCCAATTACCATTCAAGAGGGTGGTTCAACATTGATGTTTAATATTCTCTTAGTGGTCATTTGATACTTTTTTTTTTACAGGCAGAGTGGACAGTGAGAGAGAGAGAGAGACAAAGAGAAACGTCTTCCTTTGCCATTGGTTCACCCTCCAATGGCTGCCGCAGCTGGCGCGCTGTGGCCGGCGCACTGCGCTGATCCGAAGGCAGGAGCCAGGTGCTTCTCCTGGTCTCCCATGGGGTGCAGGGCCCAAGCACTTGGGCCATCCTCCACTGCACTCCCTGGCCACAGCAGAGAGCTGGCCTGGAAGACTGGAAGACGGGCAACGGGGACAGAATCCGGCACCGCGACCGGGACTAGAACCCGGTGTGCCGGCGCCACTAGACGGAGGATTAGCCTATTGAGCTGCAGCGCCGGCCATTTGATACTTTTTAAAAAACACAAAATACACTTGAATTGCCATCAGCTACTATACAAATGTTTACATTATAGTTTAATTTTAGACTAAAATAGATTTCCACTTGAGACTAGTTTTCCATTTATTCTATTTCTAAAGGGAAATGGTTAGTTTTCCTCTTGCATTTGCTTTCAAAACAAAATGTATTTTATTTTACTTTATTTCAAGAAGTACAATTTTCCAAAAGCAGTAGGAGGACAAATGATGTGGAAATAATAATATTTCACAGAAGGAATATTTCATGTTTTTATGTTAATATCCTAAATGAGACTTATTAAAATATATCTTCCTAAATATCTTTCTGATTCTCTGAAGTCCATATTTTTTTCTAAATACTACTTAAGGTATACAACTTTTATTTATTGCTTATATACAGATCCAGGAACACAGTGATACTTCCCACCCTACCCTCTCTCCCACCCATGCTTTCCACTCTTCTTCCTCATCCCTCTCTTATTCCCGCTTTTAATTTTCACAAAGACATATTTCAAGTTTACTTTATACTCATAAGATTAACCCTATGCTAAGTAAAGAGTTCAACAAATAGTATGTAATGAGTTTAATCTCCTTTCCATTCAGGAAACTATCTTAATAAAAACTTGATTTTTAATATATATTTGCATTTGACTATTTTTTCTTCTCTCCTGTTAATGTTAATTTGCTCTATCTCTGTCATTTCAAAATAACAGGTCATCCAAATATAGAGATTAATTTTATCCATAGTTTTATTTTAATTTTTCTAATCATTTTAGTGGATTACTGTGATTATTGATTTACAAATCTAAATTAAATTGAGTTAGTGGATTAATGTTGTTTTTCAAGCTTCTAAGAATGCGGCTTTTTTTCCTTTTGGTGTCTGTTTCTATGAGTTGTAGTTAAGGTGCTATATGATTATTTTTTAAGATTTATTTTTTTTTTTGAAAGATAAGAGTTACAGAGGGAGAAACAGAAAGAGAGATAGTGAGGGAGAGAGAGAGAGATCTTCCATCTACTTGTTCATTCCCCAAATGGCCATAACAGTGGGCCAAGCCAAGCAAGGAGCCAGGAGCTTCTTCCAGGTCTCCCATATAGGTGCTGGGACCCACAAATTCAGGCCATCTTCTGCTGCTTTCCCAGGTATATTAGCAGGGAGCTGGATTGCAAGTGGAGCAGCTAGGACTTGAACTGGCATCCATATGGGATGCCTGCATCACAGGTAGAGGCTTAACCCATTGCACCACAACACCGAACCTAGGTGCTATATAATTTATTGTATTTATTCTTTCACCATTGATACAGTTAAGCACATTTCAAAATATAAGTTAATATTGGTTAACATGTTTGAACTGAGATATACATTCGTTGAGCAACAATGGAAGAACTGTAGCTAAGAATTTTACAGAGCAAAGAAAGTATTGTAAAAAGTATTACAATCTTTTCTGTTTCATATCTTTAATATTAGTTTTTATCATAGATGATCATTGGCTTGACAAATATATTTTTATTGTGGTAAAATATATACTTTATTAAATATATTCACATTGTTGTATAACATGACCAAAAATATGAACACTTTACAAGTTTGCATGTTATCCTTATATAGGGGATTGCTAATATTCTCTGTATCTTTCTAATCTTAGTATATATATATTTCTGACACAAGCACCAAGAATGTTTGTTTAAATGCTCAGAATCTCTTTCAGAATAAAAATAGGAAAAGTAAAGCAAATTCGCCAGCAGAATACTATTTAACTCATTATGTTATCAGCATTGTGAACTTTTTACCTTTCCCCTGGCTTGATGAATGTTAACAGATGTCTAAGAAGTCCTATTTTGTAGTAGACTAACAGGAGGATTTCTTTTCTGATGGGCTAGCCTCTTTGAAGCAATCTTGTTTTTGAGGATGGGTGAGCTGTGGAAGGAGATTCTGTACTGTTCTTGGGAGTCAGGCGTTTCAAGTAGCTTTTCTGTATTCCTGGTTAAGTAGGCTTAGGGAAATTAATTATTATTTTAATGTCAGAAACTTTAGGTGTTTGGTCATCTCTAACCTGTATGAAATGCACACTTTTTGCTAGGATCACAAGACTTTCTAGGCATGCTACTACTGGTTTAAAATCAAAGATCTGTAGAAGGTCAGAGCTGTAATGCTATAGAAATTATGTTGTGACATTAGATAAAAGGCAGATAAATCTCTGTTGTAATTTTATTGCCCATTAGATGATGTATGTAATACTAGAATAATACATATGGCTCAACATTATTAAGAAAATGATAACTAATATTTCCCTTAGTAATTATATATAGAAGAATATTTCCAATTTAAAGTGATGTCACTAGAGACAAATATAACTGGTGATTACTGAATTAAAAATAAAGTTTACATAAATTGTGATATTTAAGGATATCTATATATTACCTAAGTTCAAATGCATAACAAAATAGTATCTAAGCCATTGTAGTTGAGTTACATCCTAGTTTTGTTTGTTGTTTTTTACATTTGAGTGCAGCATTTCACAGTGTTCCATGGAGTATCAGAATGTTTAGACCTCAAATAAGTTTTTTATGCTGTTTTGCAAAATTCATAATAAATGCTACATATGAAATTCTCTGAAAAGCTGCGCAGTAAGACAAATCTGGAGCTACCTAAGATTAGAGGCCAACTTCAAGATTTTAGTTGCTGGGGCTGGCGCTGTGGCGCAGTGGGTTAACCCCCTGGCCTGAAGTGCTGCCATCCCATATGGGCGCTGGTTCGATATCCGGCTGCTCCACTTCTGATCCAGCTCTCTGCTATGGCCTAGGAAAGCAGTGAAAGATGGCCCACGTCCTTGGGCCCCTGCACTCACGTGGGAGACCTGAAAGAGGCTCCTGGCTCCTGGCTTTGGATCAGCACAGCTCCGGCTGTTGCGGCCATCTGGGGAGTGAACCAGCGGATGGAAGATCTCTCTCTCTCTCTCTCTCTCTCTCTCTGCCTCTCCTCTCTGTGTAACTCTTTCAAATAAATAAATAAATAAATAAATCTTTTTAAAAAAAGATTTAGTTGCTTTGCAACATTAGATAGCTATTCAATTTCTGTGCCTCAATCTCATCATCTGATGTTATTGCTATTCCCCTCTTGAGTTTGTTGTGAATATTAAATGAATTAATATGTGTAAAGTATTCAAAAGAGTGCGGAATATTGTTAGTGCTATGTAACGGTATTTTTTTGTTTTCAAATGATGACAAATTTGGCCTTGAAACTTTCTTACCTCCTCCCCTTTACTGAAACAGATTCTTTCTTTAAGATGTATTAATTTGATTGAGAGGAAGAGTGACAGAGAGGTAAAAACAGATAAGAGAGATCCTTGATCTGCTGGTTTACCCACAAAAACCCACAAATGGCCAGTGCTTTGCCAGGTCAAAGTCAAGAACTCTACCCAAGTTTCACATGTGGGTGTCAGGAACCTAACTAATTGGGCCATCACCTGCTACCTCCTGGGGTTCAATATTAGGAAACTAGATTGGAAGCAGAGGAGCTGGGATGCAACCTTGCACTCTGATTATTGCATGTGGGCATACAAGTGGCTTAACACACTGTGCCAGCATGTCTGTCCCATAAACAAGTTCTTTTAACATTTTACAGAAGAAATAATTAAATGGAACATAGTTTGTAAAACAATGATATGACAGGTTCAATATTGTTGCTTCTCTCTTAATTTTAATCATTTAACAGTAAATGTAATTATGAATATTTGAAGAGATTATTAAACTTTCATGGCTTGAAATGCCTATTAGGCATTTGCTGAAGAGTCTGCAGGAAAATTAACAGTTGCTTGGCAAACTAAAAGTCTGTTAGGCACGTTAGGCTATGGGACAACAGTTTCTTCAAGGCAGCAACCAGCGTCTCCTGTGCTGCCGTGTAGCTGCACTCTCTACTATGCCGCGCTGCTTATCCTACCAATCCTTCCTCACGGTTGTTTTCCTTCTCTGGCTCCATCCTGAGCTGTAAATTCACTGCCTTATCGTACTTCCTCCAATTTGTTGTTTTTGCAGGGCAATTTGAACTTCAGCACAGATTGAACATATCCTCTCTTAATATCTATCAGTAATTCAATGAAGTTTGCCAAATATCTGTGCCAATATGGTTGATTTCTAGTGCCCACATCGTTTTATGGCTTCGCTGCTGTCTAGCCAAATGCAGCTGCTATTTATTGTTTTGAAAACTCCCGATGGCTGTATTTTGTCAAACTTCTGCTATCAGTCATAGACCTGAACTGAGTAACTATTAATGTTTTGTCTGTCTGAATGGTGATTCCTAAGAGTCACTGTAATATTCGTTCCTTACTTGAGTTTTGTTACTACTTACATGTGACTTCTCTGTTCTTTCATTGTTTGATTCTCAGATCTTAATAGCTTTCCTTTTAGTTACATTCCTAAATTTTTAGGATCCAGGTGTCTGTGAATAGAAAAAAACTTTGAGAAAATATTTTATTTCTTAATTAACACATACTAATTACAGATTTATGTCTATTTGAGTCCAAGAATTTTTCTAAATATGTTTATACCCAGAGCATAAACATCTCCTGAAAATGAACTTGAATACTACCTCTGCCTTGAAAGATTTTAATCTTCTCAGTTTACCTATAAGAAATTTCAAAGCCGTTTTTACTAGATTCAATGTGGTATATCACATTAACCTGTTGTATCACCAGATGTTTCATTATTCATGTTTTAGTACATCATACTTGACCCAAAGTAGCTTTGAATACAAATAACAAAAGAGCCAACACACAGTACTTGACGGAAAGGCTGAAGCAATGTGGCATATCTAAACTACTTTTCATTTCGGGGAGGGGGATATTATTAATTGCAATGTCTTGACTGTTAATTAAATTTTATTTTTAAAATATAAAATCTTATTGCAGTGAACTGACTCACCATTTCATTTAATTAATTGTAAACCTCAAGATTTGATTACTCATTGTTCTCCTTTAGTTAATTTACTTATCCACATGCTTAACAAAAAAGCTTTCCAACTAACATGAATGGAAGGGCACAGTATAACCAATTAGGAAACTATAAAATTGCCTTAGTTTTTGTTCACAGCACTGTTGAAAATCCAAATTCACTGCTTTTTTTTGCCTTTTTCTTTCAAATTTTTTATAAGCCAGGGATTATTTACCCCTACACTTCTTTTTTTAAGAACTATAGACCATATAAATTGTCGGTCTAATGTTTGCTTACTAGTGTGAAAGGAGTGCAAGGAGAGTTGTGTTTTAGAGCATGCATGAATGATTAAAAAAAACACAAGGATTTCAAAAACCTATATAGTACAGAATAAATCCAGACAGAATCATTGCTTCATAAAGGACCCTAAGGACAAAATAGTCCAACTTGTTTATGTGGCATATGAATAAAATAAATCACAGAAAAGTTGTATGATACAATTTTTCACTTGTTCTGACCAGATGCCTTATATGGCATCTTTGCAGACCCATTTTAGATTAAAGAATTTAAAAATCAAGTTATTAATGTAGGGATTAGTGGACAAAACACTTGGGAAAAAATTGGGAGTCATAATTTCTCCTCCTAACCCTATTGCATACTGTCTGTGTTAATTTATTGCCCTCTTTCACTTATCCTCTTTGTGACTCAAATTATTTCATTGATAAAATTGGGAATTTGTTTTAGATATTCATTACAATTCTTTTAAGTCTAAACGACTTTTTTATAACAGATTAAGCCTACAGTTTGTCCTTGTATACTTACTAACAATAATAGCTGGTAATACACACGTAAACACAAACACACATACGTAACTATGACACATGGACATTTTCATATATTTTAGGTTTAGCAGAGTGTTTAGAAACAATACACAATAGGAAAAGGGGAGCCCCTTCATTAGAAGATGATAGGAAAAACTGGGTATCCATATTCGGAGGAAAGAAAATTGGATCTTTATTTTCACCAAACACAAATATAAACTCAAAATGAATTAAACACTTAAACATAAGGCCTGACACCATAAAACTCCTAGAAGAAAACATAGAGGGAAACATTTCCTTGCCATTAGATTTGGCAATAATTTTTGGATATGATACCAAAAACACGGGCAACAAAAGCAAAAATAGACACGTGGCATGAAATCAAACTCAGACACTTCTACACAGCAAGGAAAACAAAATCACAAAAAGGCAAACTATGGAATGGGAGAACATATTTTCAAACCATGTTTCTAATAAAGAATCAATATCCGAACATATATAAGAAACTCACAAAACTCAATAGCAAGAAAACAAATAACCTGATTAAAAAATGGACAGGGGTGGACATTTGGCATAGTAGCTAACATAACTCTAGGGATGCCTGAGTCCATTTCAGAGTGTCTGGGTGCCAGTTCTGCTTCCAATTTCATCTTCCCGCTAATGTGCATTCTGAGAAGCAACAGGTTCAAGGAGTTGAGTCCCTGCTACTAATGTGGGAGAGACCCAATATGACTTTCTAGCTCCCGGCTTTGATTTTTCATAATGGGAAGAAAGAAGGGCATACTGTCATGTGCATAGTATAATTCAGTGAAGCAAGATTGGTAACTATATACCAAATGATATGAGATATACACAATTGGCCATTATTTTTTAAAATTTCTTTTTATTTGACAGTATGACAGAAAGAGATAAACAGAGAGATCTCCTTTCTATTAGTTCACTCCCTAAATGCTTGCAACGGCCAGGCTAGACTAGGCTGAAGCTAGGAGCCAGGAACTCCATATATATTTACATTTATTTGGTTTCTCCATATACAAATATGAGGAAGATCAAAGGGTAGAAAAGCTACTTGAAGATTTTATTCCCAGCTCATCCTTTAGCAGAAGTAGGAACAAGGATAGTCATTACAAATGGATCCCTTATAGCATTTCAGAGTACCTTGATGATAGTATTTTAGCAGGAATTTAGTACATCTAGTGAGTACCATTTAGAACAACAGTCCAATGCTCTTGGCAGACACCAAAACATATTAGCAAGAGTCTTGTAATTTTTCAGACAATTTGGGTTTTACTGCCTTTGTGTATGTATTCTGTGTTTTGAATTGGGGATCAGACATTTTGTCAAATTCTTTTTCAGAGTTTTCAAACTGTTCATTGCCCACAAAAAGAGTTAGAAGATTTGAAAATTACTAAAAAATAGCCATCAATTCAACTTTAATTTACTTTTAGCTCACACTGTGCAACAGGGCCCTATTAAAAATGCATCTATATTTCAGTTCCATTCAGAAATGGTCCTCATTTTAAAAGGTATGATTCTTGTTTTAGGTATAACAGCTGCAGCAATGGCTGAGGCAATGAAGCTGCAGAAGATGAAGCTTATGGCTATGAACACTCTTCAGGGAAATGGAAGCCAAAATGGGACTGAATCTGAGCCTGATGATCTGAATTCTAACACAGGTGAGTATCTCAGTCTGATGTCTCTTACTAATTTTTGTGGAGTGAGAGAGAGAAGGGTTGACAGTGGAATAGAGAGTAATATGTATAATACTATGATTATAAACAGTTACTCCAGAACGGTACTTAACCTTATAGCCAACTTTCACACTGAAACTGGAAAACCATCTGATTCCTGTTGCAGAATCATTTAGCTATCTTTGTTGTTTGTAGCAAGGGAATTAAATACTAATTCTTAGAGTAATAGCCATTGTGCTCTCTGCCTGCTAAAAGCAGCCCCACGCCACCTTCACCCCAGGGGGTCTTATTCCAACTCCATTCTTTCCTAAATAATTTACCACTGGAAGGCAAGGCTGAGAATACAGATTGTTGGGCTGCAGTCTGTTTTGGTGGAGTACCATGTTCTTAGCTAAATATAGGTGCTGACAGACCTCAGGCATTATTGACAGGGGCTAAAGAAAAGGAATGGAACAGAGAGAAGGCCATAAAAAGGACAAATGGAACAAAGTGAGTGAAGACAAAGATGACTCTGAAGTGGCATGTGCCCTACCTTTCTACTTATTTCTAAAAGTAAAAATTATATATTTTTATTTATTTGAAAGGGGATTGAATTGGAATCCCCTGGTATGCTTCCAACTCCACCACTTGGGGCAAGTCAGCCTGAGCATGTCCCAAATTATACATCTCTTCCCTCTCCCATTCCCACCACCATGTTCAACAGGGATCACATTTCAGTTAATTTTCAACACTTAAGAATAACTGTGCATCAATTACAGATCTAAACCAGTCATATTAAGTAGAACAGATAAAAAAAACTACTAAGAGGGATAATGTATTTAGTTGTTCATTAACAGTCAGGGCTATGCTGATCAAGCCACCATTTCCCATAGTGTCCACCTCACTCCAACAGGTTTCCCTCTTGGTGTTCAGTCAGTCGTCACCGATCAGGGAGAACATATGGTATTTGTCCCTTTGGGACTGGCTTATTTCACTCAGCATGATGTGTTCCAGATTCCTCCATTTTGTTGCAAATGACTGGATTTCGTTGTTTCTTACTGCAGTATAGTATTCTAAAGAGTACATATCCCATAATTTCTTTATCCAGTCTATCGTTGATGGCCATTTAGGTTGGTTCCAGGTCTTAGCTATTGTGAATTGAGCTGCAATAAACATTAGGGTGCAGACCTCTTTTTTGTTTGCCAATTTAAATTCCTTTGGGTAAATTCCAAGGAGTGGGATGGCTGGGTCGAACGGTAGGGTTATCTTCAGGTTTCTGAGGAATCTCCAGACTGACTTCCATAGTGGCTTGACCAGTTTGCATTCCCACCAACAGTGGGTTAGTGTCCCTTTTTCCCCACATCCTCGCCAGCATCTGTTGTTGGTATATTTCTGCATGTGAGCCATTCTAACCGGGGTGAGGTGAAACCTCATTGTGGTTTTGATTTGCATTTCCCTGATTGCTAATGACCTTGAACATTTTTTCATGTGCCTGTTGGCCATTTGGATTTCCTCTTTTGAAAAATGTCTATTGAGGTCGTTGGCCCATCTCTTAAGTGGGTTGTTGGTTTTGTTTTTGTGGAGTTTCTTGATCTCTTTGTAGATTCTGGTTATTAACCCTTTGTCTGTTGCATAGTTTGCAAATATTTTTTCCCATTCTGTTGGTTGTCTTTTCACTCTCCTGACTGTTTCTTTTGCAGTACAGAAACTTCTCAATTTGATGCAATCCCAATAGTTGATTTTGGCTTTGACTGCCTGTGCCTCCCGGGTCTTTTCCAGAAACTCTTTGCCTGTGCCAATATCTTGAAGGGTTTCTCCAATGTTCTCTAGTAACTTGATGGTGTCAGGTCGTAGATTTAGGTCTTTAATCCATGTTGAGTGGATTTTTGTGTAAGGTGTAAGGTAGGGGTCTTGCTTCATGATTCTGCACGTGGAGATCCAATTTTCCCAGCACCATTTATTGAATAGACTGTCCTTGCTCCAGGAATTAGTTTTAGATCCTTGATCAAATATAAGTTGGCTGTAGATGTTTGGGTTGATTTCTGGTGTTTCAATTCTGTTCCATTGGTCTATCCATCTGTTTCTGTACCAGTACCATGCTGTTTTAATTACAACTGCCCTGTAGTATGTCCTGAAATCTGGTATTGTGATGCCTCCGGCTTTGTTTTTGTTGTACAAGATTGCTTTAGCTATTCGAGGTCTCTTGTGCCTCCATATAAATTTCAGCACCATTTTTTCCAGATCTGAGAAGAAGGTCTTCGGTATCTTGATTGGTATTGCATTGAATCTGTAAATTGCTTTTGGGAGAATGGACATTTTGATGATATTGATTCTTCCAATCCATGAGCATGGAAGAGTTTTCCATTTCTTGGTATCCTCTTCTATTTCTTTCTTTAAGGTTTTGTAATTTTCATCGTAGAGATCTTTAACGTCTTTGGTTAAGTTTATTCCAAGGTATTTGATTGTTTTTGTAGCTATTGTGAATGGGATTGATCTTAGAAGTTCTTCCTCAGCCATGGCATTGTCTGTGTATACAAAGGCTGTTGATTTTTGTGCATTGATTTTATACCCTGCTACTTTGCCAAACTCTTCTATGAGTTCCAATAGTCTCTTAGTAGAGTTCTTTGGGTCCCCTAAATAAAGAATCATGTCATCTGCAAAGAGGGATAGTTTGAGTTCTTCCTTCCCAATTTGTATCCCTTTAATTTCTTTTTCTTGCCTAATGGCTCTGGCTAGAACCTCCAGAACTATATTGAATAGCAGTGGTGAGAGTGGGCATCCCTGTCTGGTTCCAGATCTCAGTGGAAATGCTTCCAACTTTTCCCCATTCAATAGGATGTTGGCTGTGTGTTTTTCATAGATTGCTTTGATTGTATTGAGGAATGTTCCTTCCATACCCAGTTTGCTTAGAGTTTTCATCATGAACGGGTGTTGTATTTTATCAAATGCTTTCTCGGCATCTATTGAGATAATCATATGGTTTTTCTTCTGCAGTCTGTTAATGTGGTGTATCACATTGATTGTCTTGCGCACATTAAACCATCCCTGCATACCAGGGATAAATCCCACTTGGTCTGGGTGGATGATCTTTCTGATGTGTTGTTGCATTCTATTGGCGAGAATTTTATTGAGGATTTTTGCATCTATGTTCATTAGGGATATTGGTCTGTAATTCTCTTTCAGTGCTGCATCTTTTTCCGGCTTAGGAATTAAGGTGATGCTGGCTTCATAGAAAGAATTTGGGAGGACTCCCTCTTCTTCGATTGTTCTGAATAGTTTGAGAAGAATTGGAGTTAGTTCTTCTTTAAACGTCTGGTAGAATTCAGCAGTGAATCCATCTGGTCCTGGGCTTTTCTTTGTTGGGAGGGCCTTTATTACTGTTTCAATTTCTGTCTCAGTTATGGGTCTGTTTAGGTTTTCGATGTCTTCCTGGTTCAATTTAGGCAGGTTGCATGTGTCCAGGAATCTATCCATTTCTGATAGGTTTCCCTGTTTGCTGGCATACAAGTCCTTGTAGTAATTTCTGATGATTCTTTTTATTTCTGTGGTGTCTGTTGTTACATTTCCTTTTTCATCTCTGATTTTATTGATTTGGGTCTTTTCTCTTCTTTTTTTAGTTAGTTGGGCCAATGGGGTGTCAACCAAGTGGTGGAGTTGGAAGCATACCAGGGGATTCCAATTCAATCCCATCGAGGTGGCATGTACCAATGCCATCTCACTGTTCCAGGTGATCAGTTTCAGTTCACAGTTGGTCATGGTGAAGGGACTGGGAGTCAAAGGGAGCACATAGACAAGTCTAGTACCTGCTAACGCTAACTGATGGAGTAAATAAAGGGGAGAGTGATCCAACATGGGAAGTGAGATACTCAGCAGACTCATAGAATGGCAGATGTCCTAAATAGCACTCTGGCCTCAGAATCAGCCCTAAAGGCATTCGCAGCTGGCTGAAAAGCTCATGAGAGTATTTCAGGCATGGAAAGCCAAGACACTCTGGCAAAAGATCTCTGCGAGTGAGATCCCAGTGGAAAGAACGGGTCATCAAAGAAGGAGGTACCTTTCTCTGAAGGGAGGAGAGAACCTCCACTTTGACTATGACCTTGTCTAAACAAGATAAGAGTCGGAGAACTCAGAGGGCTTCCATAGCCTTGGAAACTCATGACTGGAGCATAGGGAGATTACTGATGCCATAGACAGGAGTGTCAACTTGTAAAGTCAACAACAGGAGTCACTGTGCACTTACTCCTCATGTAGGATCTCTATCCTTAACGTGCTGTACATTGAGATTTAATGCTATAACGAGTACTCAAACAATATATTTCACTTTGTGTTTCTATGGGGGTGCAAACTGTTGAAATCCTTACTTAATGCATACTAAACTGATCCTCTGTAAAAAAAAAAAAAAGAAAAGAAAAGAAATTATCAATTCCCAACTTGACTCTCACTGGGATTAAACATGACAATAGGTCTGCTCTGATTTCATCATCATTTAAAAAAATCATCTATTATTTTTCACTTTATGTTTCTGTGTGGGAGCACACTGTTGAAATCCATACTTAATGTATACTAAGCTGATCTTCTGTATATTTAGATAATCGAAAATGAATCTTGATGTGAATGGAAGGGGAGAGGGAGTGGGAAAGGGGAGGGTTGTGGGTGGGAGGGACGTTATGTGGGGGAAGCCATTGTAATCCATAAGTCGTACTTTGGAAATTTATATGCATTAAATAAAAGTTTAAAAAAAAAAGAAAGGGGAGAGGGAGAGGGAGAGAGAAGAGAGAGAAGAGAGAGAAGAGAGAGAAGAGAGAGAAGAGAGATCATCCATTCACTGATTCACTTCCCAAAGGCCCATAACAGCCAGGGCTAAAACCATAAGCCCAGTATTCAACTCAGGTCTCCCACATTGGGAGGCAAAGATACAACTATTTGAACCATCACCTGCTGCCTCCCAGGATCCACATTAATAGGAAGCTATAATGGGAAGTACAGCTGGGACTTAAAGCCAAGCA